CTCCTACATATGTATATCGCTCTTTTGCATGTAACAAGCCTGTATCTCCACAGATGCACGACAAAGCAACGTCTGCTCTTGAGCGCGCCGTGGCCCCTGCCCTCCCAGGCATGATATGCATGCATGATCCATCAACCTATGATGATATCCGCCTTGAGCTCGTGCCCGTCGTAGACGGAATACTTGACCTCCGTTCTCCTCCCCTTCGCGCTTGTCACGCCGTACACGGGCAGCGTCTTCTCACGCATGAATGCCCTTGAGCCGCCGCCATAGTACTGGGGCAGGAGGACGAGCGCAGTGTCGTGCCCGACGAGACCGGTGACGACGTCACACCAACGGGCGTAGTTGTGCACGCCTAGGACGACGAAGATGCGTTCCCCGGTGTCGGATTGAAACAGAAGGCCGCCCGATGTGCCGCTGGCGCCCATCCGGAGGACGTGGCGCCCGCCCTCCTCTGACCAGGTTCCGCCCCCGCCGTAGTTGAAGCAGATCTTCTCCACGATGTTGAAGAAGCAGCTTGGGCTTGTCTGATACACACTAACGGTGATCGTATAGCTGAGTTCGAGAACGCCTCGTCAATGACCGTATCGGGAGACACAGAATGACACTGACGACATCGCAGAAGATCTGCAAGAAATGGTAGAGCACTCCGGCGGCGCTATCCATCCAGGTTGCCACTACAGCTTTTATGACCGGAAGTCGGAAGCGTTCGTGTTCTCGCCATGCATTCCGGTCGAGAGTCACATGTAGTGCGATGTCCGGACGCAAGCCTCATGTTTTCTGACGTCTTGTTGTGAGCACCTAGGCAGTGGATTGGGCTTATCGATCATCCATTTCGGAGTAGTTCCCATCGACTGTCAATGTTTTGGAGAAAGCGCACCGCCTTAAGCTACAAGCGGACCCCCGGTCCTGAAATAGGATAGAGAACGTTTCATGTACAGGACACCTACTCGAAGTGCCCTATCATCAAGAGATCGGTGGGATTCGGAAGTCACTTAACAACGAAAGAATATCCCTGTCGTATCCAAAGTACGGGCAGGGAACAACCGCCAACGACTCCGGCTTCGACGATCGTATTGTCATGTCCCTTATCGATGGTGAGCTTTACTTTACGGCGGAGGTTCGCACCGCGAGCGGGCAAGAAAGACAATCGTATAAAAGAGTGCATTCTCACTCCGCATTTCTGAAAAAACCACTCTCTTCAAGATATGCCCGGTGCTCAGCACGGTGATCAAGGACTTTCGCATCGACACTACGGCGCCAAATCAGGGCTCCAATCTTGTCCCCGCGACAGAACTAAGCATAATGTGATGTCATGTGAAGGAACCGGACGTACATGTGCGATGCTGTCCAGCATAGAGTCCCATAAGTAATTGTGCCCGGGTGAAGCGCCTCTCGTGGATGCACGGAACAGCTCTGTTATCAAGTCTCCGGTAATGTGAGCATGACCCCCATCGATGCCTATGAACACACGTCAGAACGGACAGTCATGTCAGGCGCCCCAAAACCGTAGATGGCACCTTTCAAGAGGGCTTGGGCTGCTTGATCCGCGGTCATACCGGGATCAGTTTCCTCTATTTTTTGCGTGATCCTGGGCTTGGTCTCGTTCTCTAGCTCATAGCCAGGTGTGAACATTGTGGGCGGAAAGAAGACATGAACCGAATAGCCATAAAGTTGGAACTCGGAGCGCAGAGTATCGGCCAGTGCTACGTCGGGAACAGTCAGCTGGGCATGAGTACGGTATTTCTTGGAGATGCACCCATACCTCGGACAGCGTGTTTTGCAGGAGAATACGAGGAATATCCGAGGAATGACATGTAGCCCAGCGTTGACGACACAAATACGAACTTCCCTTTAGTCGCTCGTTGACGGACCAGCATGCGCGCCACAGCCTGATAGTGAGACACATCAGACCGCAAGGTACATAAGCTCACAAGATCGCCACTCACCCACGCGGTCCAGGCCTGGAGCCAATAACCATCCTCCATGCCCTTCAACAAATCGTCCTCGGTCATCTCTACAAAGAACTTCGGACGAGCTTGGCCCGCACACAAGAACACAGCATCCGGTGCTCGTCCTTCATGCTTGACCACTATCTCGTTCAATGCGGCATCGGCCTCCCGTGCACTTCCAAGGGAATGGGACGCGATCTGGAAGACCTGGTCAGGTGATTGACGACGAGCCTCAAGGACATCGAGTGCTGTCTTGAGCTTTTCGACATTTCGTCCGACGATAGAGACGTGGGCGCCTTTGGCAGCAAGACTGGACGCAACAGCCAGTCCAAGACCGGATCCTCCTCCTGTGACATAGCAATGCTAAAATGAGCTAATTGAGCATGTAGGTGTAGAGCCGCATCCTGACATAAGCTTGCCTGAAGTTTGGGGTTCCATTTCTTTGAGCCTAACATTTTCCAACGTCTGCCAGCTGTGGCGGGGGACTAGGACTGGCGGCGCTCTCCACGTGAACACACTGATGCATGCCGAAGGAAGGTTTGGGTCCAAACATCAGCAAACAACTTCGTCATCAGGGTAGGTAGGTATATATTTCCGGCGCGGTCCCAATAGCGGAACAACCGGTTGCCGTACCGCACGTCAATACGCACCTTGTTCATTGCCATGTGATCTTTTGGCGCCTGCCATTGAATTGAGTGCATCAGATATCACATCACAAACCATGAATAGCTCTGGTCCTATCTGTACCAGTTCGTATACTTATAGTCATCGCTGTCGCATTTCAGATCCCATACCCCATCGCAGGTTCCGTTCAGTCTACTGAAGTATCATGAGAAGTGAACTTGTCTTGAATCCTGCACGACTCCGCGCCGTCAGGGTATGTATTCACTTGCCACTATGTTCCGTAGTATGTACTGAAGGATCTTAAGTATGTGAAAGGTATAGATAACTTCACATATGTGCCATATATGCAACTCATCATCCCAATAGTGGCGAGCGCAACAGTTGTGGTACAATTTTATTTCACTTTACCGGTGAAGCATCCTGACATCACGTGCAGGCATTGGAGAATATAGCACTGTTCCCGCAAGAAGTGGGCGGTTTTTCCTGGAGTATCTATCTGTTCAGTGCTGATTATTCGAGAGGTCGAACATATTTGGCACTCAAAATGGTCTTTGACCAAATGTCTATACTTGTTTGCCCGGTATGTTGCATACGTTGATACCACTCTCGACACAATCTGTGAGGAGCTGTTTCTACTACAGCGTCGGTGCACTGATCTACATATAGATTATGCATCGCCGAAGATCTTGAGTCCTTCTGTATGCTTGACTTATTCATGCCATCGGAATCTCTAATTCAAGGCCATGGGTCACAGGCCTGCCTGATGAATTATCGGGTTTCTACATGTGCACCATAGTATTTCATGCTGTTCACTTAGTCTTGTATATTGATATAAGATATCTTCAGGGTTCACTATGTTCGGTATCGGGTTTGCAGAGTGTATGCCTCCTACACGACACTGCATACTCCTACGTGTGAGATACTTATGGCTTCTCCCTTCAGTCATCCTTGTGTTACGCACATATGCTATCTACGAGTCGTCGCCAAGAATTCTTGCATTTCTGCTGTTTTTGTGGGTTGTGAGTAAGGCTTTTCAATTGTCAATTCTACTGCTAAACACAACATAGTGCTGGGCAGGAGGTAGCTTGTATGCCATAAGCATGTTCACGAAGTCCCTCGTGTGTAAGGTCTCAGTTACTGGTATAGTGAACATGACGACGCTTCTATTGAATTTGCACACAGTTGAATATCCTCCGGTCGAGCTCGACGGTCTGGTGACAGGATGCTACATGGTGGATGCTCGTCCTGTGGTTTTCGGAGCTTTTGCGGGCATGCTTCTGCTCGAGCTTGGTGATTTTTGACACCGAATATCGGCTTGACCCTCGCTGATCAGTTCTCAGTATTCATGGTATTGACAGTGCGGAAGGCCTTTCAACATGCGCAGAGAGGTTATTCACACGCTTGGTTCATGACGAGATAGCGTTCCAGCATCTGAAGTGCTGTGTCCATAGAAAGAGCTGCAGGACAAGGTTTCTGGGATGGAGGCGCTGTTCTCTCCGGAAACGGATTGATGTATGTACTATTCAGGGACGGTGCGTATTGCGCGCGACCACACGGACTTACAAACAGTACTCAATGCCACGACAGGGGCCATATCTTCTATTATAAAGGAGGAGGACAAAGTCAAAAAGACAATCTGATTGGCTGGCGGGCTTGAGTCACGTGAACGGGCCGAATAAGCGATGACATCACATTAGCCATCAGCCACGCGCTCCTGTGATTCCATCAGAGACTTGCATGCGGAATCGACTCGCACGCACGCTTGGCTAAGTGGTTAGCGCGTCGATGGTGACAATCTGGAATTTTGCCCAGGTCGCGGGTTCGATCCTGCTCGCGCGCAGATGAATCACTGTCATGATTAATCGAACGAACCACACTGAATCAGAGTCAGTAATTGTACGGTAAGAAAGTGCGATCAGATCCAGTATCAGTCATGCCTGAGCCGTGAAGTAGCAGTCAATAAGCTACAGTAACAAATGCACGCTAAAGGACGGAAGTCGGTGTAATACTTAAGTTTCACTAAGTGATGCTGAGCGTACGATAATAAGTCACAGTAACTAAAGAAAATAATCAGTTGTGCTCACCGATGTATACTGATTGGTAAAGCTAGGTATATACTAATCAGTCGCCGTGACTAGCACAAGGGAATGAGAAGAGCCATACACCATAACTGATGCATGCTCATGGGTAAAAGTCAGAGTGATAAGACATGCTCAGTAACTGATGCCCATGCTAATCAACTACAGTGACTAACACATGGTAAGTAATTCGTAGAACTCACAGTACCACACACTAATGGTGATGTCAATACAACTCACAATAACTAATGCACGTTAGTTGGTGGACATGTACACACCCCTTTGTCTAAAAGGCAGGTTACACTTATCATAGGTCAAAGTTAACGGCACACGCTATGGCAACCATGTACACCCATCTCGGGCTGGAAAGATGAGCACCATATGCAGATTGAGTAAAGGTACATGCATGGGCCAGTCAACAACAATTATGACAGGGATTTGTGCATACTTCGAGTACGGTGACATGTCATTACTTTGGTGCATAGCGTCGCATAGCGCACGCTAATGATGCTAGTATTTCATATGTCTCCTTGGTGATTCTTGACAGTCGATTGACACTCTGACTTGCGCTGAGGCTTTTCCACGACAGCGGGAACTCTTGCAAATGTTCTCATCATGTTAGCTGGCCCTGTGCGTTTCTCTTCTCTTCACTCAGATACGTTTCTGATGCTCAACTTAGCGAGAGTTTCTGGACCTTTTTGATACGTAGGTCAGATCAATGGATGGATGAGGTCAATTCATGACGGCTCGACAGGTCCACCCGTGACATGCACAGTGTTCTATGCTGCCGGATTCTTTTGAACATCCGCTCCGCGGGTTCAGGGAGGCGAGTCGGAAACTCGACCACCCTTGTTTCGACGGCGCGAGAAGGGACGGCTGAGAACTCCGGCATACGTTTTGCAACGTCGAAGGTGTCCGTCCCTGCTCCGTTGGATTACGATGGAAACTCTGGTGAAATGATGCACGCAAACGGCGATGCAGTTGAATTACAATGCATGCCTTCCAACCATGCAGTACATGACCGTTAACTGTGTATGATTCAGTTTTGTGTACACATATAGCTGGCGTGCTCAAACTACCCGTGCCGTACTTTGAACGTCCAATAGAACAGCTTTTGTGAGGAAAGATCTCGAGGCAGTTCCGGAAGGTCGGCGATGGCGCACTAACGAGCCATGCACGGGGTGGGTCGAAGGAGCAGAAGAGAAATCCCTCGAATGCATACAAAAACAATTAGAGCACCTACGCGAAGCGCCCAGTCAACGGTCACTTGCGGCTAGATAGTCATACAATCGTGGACGAACCTTCCATTCTCAGATATGATCCAAACGCACTATTTCAGAATATCCACCCTTCGCGTCCACGACACCAACGTCGGCGAGTATAACCCTGTCTAATCCAGCTCATCATCATGCTGCTCTAGCCGGAACTGCGAGCTTTCCTGGACAGCCTGAGCCTCATACAATACGCCGCAATACGCCGCTCTTGTGCAAGACATTTGCCTCGTTGGAGGACACGCTCAAGGAAGTCGATTCCGAGCTGATGGCGGTCTCCGTCCCTCCCATGAAGGTACACTCTGCGGCAGCGAACCGCATTAGGGTCGATCCGAGGGTGAACGGAAGAGGGTCTCTCACCGGAAGCGCTGACAGCGCGCGCGAAATTGTGCACGGCATTGGTCAAGGCATTTCTCGGTTTGCGGGAGGAGGATGCTTGGTGGTGCCGTCCGGGGTCGGATCAGACAAGGGCAAACGTCTTGCGCTGGCATAATCCATTCTTCGGGTCGGCTGGATGAACGCTGGATTCTGTGGAACGTGAAGGTGTACTTCCGAGCATACGAGAGCAAGAGAGAAGGAATCAGAGGTGGGGAGTGAAACTCAACAGGAACCGTCGGCGGCGACACGGACCGTGACGCACCCTTCCCACCGCGCTGTCTGCACATTCCTTCGGCGGGAAGCTGGTGCTATCATAGCTCTTCAGTACGACTATCGGCCCTCCAATAAGCCCGCGAGCCCTTGTGAAGTGGCGGTGAGACAGCTGGTTCCAAACCAGGCGCTGCTCGACGTCGCGGAGCTGGTGATTACCGGCGTTATCATCCGGAAGAAAGAATACGAAGAATTGACTGGTGGGCTCGCAAAGATCTGCACGGTGATACTGATGAAACTTTTAGCAGAGGTAGTCGATGAGGCATCCGGGGTAGACTGGATGGAGTCGGTCTATATCTGGGGATTCTTTGGTCGAGTTCGACATTTGACAACAATCAGTGAGCGTAAGCAAAGCGGTGGCGGGGAAGGACGCGAGCAAGAGTAAAGCGTGCAGGAACGATAGGTCGTAAGCCGGACCGCGTCAACGTGATCTCTCGTCACGCTGTTTGCTTCGTATTGGCTCTCGAACGCGCTCCAAGACAGGAGAGCGACGTTCACCTGGCCCTGTGATGCAGTGTCCCATCCACCAGGGAAAGAGGAAGAACCTTGAACGTTATCTATGTGCGAGATGGGCTGTTCACCATGCTGCTGATGCGTGTAGGTTCAGCTTCTAGGAGCACATTACAACGCTTCGGCCCTATGCACGCTGCCTTCGACTGTTCACAAGAGTGTCGAACGTCTAGCATGTGCGACTGTACGGCACACATGTCGTGGAGCACTGCGGTGTTTAAGTGAGAGTTTACGGATCCACGAGAGGGTTTTTCTCAGACCATAAAGTTTAGCGCACGGTTTCTATTCTTGAACAATCATCTCCGGCGCGCGATCTCGGCGCAGCGGCCACAGGACGGAAGGAAGAGGGTCGTTTCAGTACGATGACTAGTGTTCGAATTCAGCTATAAAGACAGCATCTCACCGGACAGATAGCTATCGCCTGCTCAGCGATGGCATCTTCCCAATCTCCAGGAACACCGGCCTCTACGTTGCTCTCTCGCAACGCCGAATGGGCTGCCACAAAAGATCCGACTTTCCTCGTAGACTCGAGCGACAGAGACCAGAGACCGCGGGTGATGTGGATCGGGTGCTCGGACTCGCGCGTGCCGGAGTCGGTCGTGACGAGGTCCAGGCCCGGGGACATCTTCGTGCACCGCAACGTTGCCAAGTTAGTGAACGTCCCGATCCTCGCAAGCTGCTGCTGTCGGGGAGACTCCGAGGCTGACGAGAGAGCATGAGTAGCCAGTTCAATCCAGACGAGGACAGCGTCATGACGGCGGTGACGTTCGCCATCGAAGACATCGGCCTCAACAACGTCGGCGTCGAGCACATCGTCGTGGTCGGGCACACCAACTGCGGCGCCGCAAGCTATGCGTCCGACGCGGCGGAGAACCCCTCTGCCGTCGACCGGCGTAGACCGATGTACCGCTGGCTCCAGCCGCTCATCCGGCTCGCGGGGACGGTGACAGGCAGTAGCATTTCAGGTTCGCGGCTTCGTTCACCTTCGCCGAAGTGTTGCCATAATACTGCGCTGACGGCGATTTCCGGGCCCAGAGCGTACACAGAACCTCATCATCGCCAACATTCAGGAACAGGTCGACAAGCTCGCTCAGAGCGAGCCAGTGATCAGGGCGTGGGACAACCCGAACAGGCCGGCGCTCCAGATTCACGGCTGGTTGTACGAGTTGAGTACAGGCCTACTCAGGGACCTAGAGATCACCCGACATCGAGACTCCCGAGGCTAAAGGTCGTCAAACACGCGCGCGGGGGCGGGGGGAGGGGGGTTCGTGAAAACCCCAAGGGAATGCGCAAGCCCGGGATACCGTACGCGAAAGTCTGCATAGGGAAAATCGTCGTGAACGTCGGGGTTTAAAAAAGAAGGGAATCGTATCGAATGCTTGACCGTCGCCGTGTGAGGATGTTGTGTGAAATTGTACTTGTACCGGATTTCGGTGCGCTTGACCGTAAAAAGGGGATCGTATCGAATGCTCGACCGTCGCCGTGTTGAGGATGTTGTGTGAAAATTCTACTTGTACCGGATTTCCGAACGCTTGGACCGTCTTCGTGTTGAACATGTTTTTTATGTCCGATTGTGAATCGTACCGGATTCCCGTTCTTACGGGCCACGCAATACGTCGACGATTCCTCAGAGAGACGGTTGCACCAACGAGTGTAGGGGCAAGATAGATCGATGGCCACCCCACTCACATACACCTCCGTCGCACTGAATGCACGCCCGATCTTGCGGCTTGAACGCTGAAAAAAAAGACGGGATGTTCGTCCTCCGCAAGGATCACAACGAACATCTTCCCGAAGCAACCTCCTTCGGGGTAGTTCGCAGTGTCATGACAAACATGGGTGTGATAACCAAAAAAAAGTTTCCATTACGGGCCTACAATCCACGATAAAAAAATGCGGGGGAAGGGGCGGTTGCAAGGGGGGGAGGGGGGGGGATTAGTAACGATACTTGTTATTTAGCCAGCCGAATAGTAGTGATGGATCCGCGTCGCACACGATAAACGTCCGAAGATCTATCTTTAAGATCATCCAAAAGAAACGCGATGGGGTCCGAACGACCCCGAATCGTACGTAGATCAGGATTCACGGATCAGATCAAGAGCGCGAGGGCGCCGAGGACGGCAGCGACGCCCATCCCGGCGAACACGCGCTGCTGCTGGCTCGCGCCGCTGGTCGTCGTCGTGCTGGACGAGCCCGAGCCCGTCGCGGACGCGGTGCCGGTGCCGGTGGCGCCCTTCGAGCCGCTCGCCGTCGCGGAGCCTGTTCATACGTGAACCGACCGATCGTCAGCCGATTAGGTGGACTGAGAGAGAGAGGGGGGGAAGAGAGAGAGAGGAGGGGGGAAGGGAGAGGGAAGAGAGGGAAGAGAGGAGGGCTCACCGGACGCGCCGGCGCTCGCGGGCGCGGCGGACGCGAGGTTTTTCACGGAGGCCCAGGAGGCGGCGGCGTTCGTCGCGGCGTCGCCCTGCTTGTACGGCAGGTAGCTCACGGACCCGTCCGGGGCGAGCTGGACGAGCGCGGTGATGGAGGCGGCGTAGCGCGCGCCGGCGTCTTTCGTGCTCGGGCCCGCGAGCTGCGTCGTCGAGTTGTTCTGGGCGAACACGGAACGGGGCGTGAGTGCGAGACAGAGAGAGAGAGAGGAGGGAGGGAGGGAGGGAGAGAGAGTGTGGGTGTAAGTACCTCGACGTTGATGACGTAGGTCGCCGAGCCGTCGTCCGGGATGAAGGCGAACTCTTGTTGGACGCCCGAGGACTGGAAGAAGGAGGCGGTCTGGCCGTGCGTGGCGGGGAAGCCGGTCGAGCCGTCCGATTGGGGGTAAGCCTGCGCGTCGGGCTGGAAGAAGGAGACTGTTCGGGCGCGAGCACGACGACGACAATGAGTCCAAATGGGTCAGTTGTTCAAGTTATTAAAAAAGAAGAGGGGGGGTTACGTACAGTGGATGACGAAGATCTGGGCGGAGCCGGCGGGGACGCCGGGCACGTTCAGGAAGTGGACGTGGTTCTGCGCGAGCGCCATGACGGGGTCGTACCCGTCCGCGTCGAACCCGGCCTTCTCGACGTCCGTCCAGGCGATCGCCGAGCCGTTCGCGCTCGTGAGGGCGCCCATGTCGAGGAAGAAGAGCTCGCCCGCGCCGGAGAGGGCGTAGAAGACGTTGGTGTCGTGGTCGAGGACGGCCTTGTAGTCCGCGCTGGGGTCGAAGGTGCCGGCGGTGACGGACTGGGTGGACCAGGATTTGGCGGTGGCGTCGTAGATGTGGACGGAGGAGGCGGAGGAGGCGTCGCCGTTGAGGACGTAGATGGCGTTGTAGAACTGGGCGAGGTAGCAGGTCGTGTTCGTGCCGTCGAACGGCCTGTTGGTGGTGGTCCGGGATATATACCGTCAGCGGCCGTGCGGGGCGTGCGTCTGGGGAGAACGGGGACTGGATACGTACGGGCGACCGCTGGCGGTGATCTCGGACGCGCTACCTACACGAGAGAGAAAAGGTAACACGGCTGAGTCTCGAAACGACCGTCCTGTGTCGCACGAGGCACGCACCGCTCGTCCACGAGTCCTGGGTGCCCGCGTTCCAGTCCTTGCCGTCGAGCCCGAAGGCGAGCAGGTTGAAGTTGGCGTCGAAGGTGACGCAGGGCGAGGCTCGCACCACGCGGGCGGCGAGCGAGAAGAGCGAAAGAGCGGCGACGGTGAGCGGGTGCGTGCGGAACATCCTAGTCGAACCGATGCGTTGTAGTTAGGTCTGTAACGAGCTATATATCCAAGAGTGTCTTGTGGACGACGAGATGTGCTGGGGCCGGGACGAAATGCAAGAGAGAATGAAGGGCGGGAAGAGGAGGAGGAGGATGAGAAGGAGCGAGGACCGGCGCTGCGCCCTGTGTCACTGTGACGAGGAAAGGAAGTCGTGTCCCTATTCTTAGAGACGAAACGGGGGCCCGAACCTCTTCACGACCTCCGTTAGGCGCCCAATCAAAATATTCCGTCACCTCACGGGCGCCTAAAATGCAGATCTAGACTTTTCTGATCGTCAATCTGAGTGTGGGAGCTTTTGCTTGTTGATCGGCCACTGAGCGCGGCGCCACGCGGTAGGTTGCGATTATACCTCCGCGTTCCCTTCCCCTCGTCCTCCTCAACGGCGGCCCCTCTACATCCCCCTCTCCTCGGTCTCGGTACAAGACATATACACAAAATCAACGCCGCTCTTGACTGAGTGTACAGCGTTCCTCTCCGGCTACCGCCTCGCTCGAGTCACTCCCCCGCGCCTCCGCTTGACTCGCGACCTCGATTCCACCGGAGTCTTTTCTCCCCACATTTCCGCGCCATGTCCTCGCAAGACTCCTCCAATCTGGACATCAACCTCTCCCAGCTCTCCCTCGCCGCCTCCTCCTCCTCCTCCTCGTCGTCGCAAGAAGACTGGGACCGGTCGATGACCCTAGCGGGCGCCGACGGAGAGCCGCCGCGCACGCCGCGCAACACCGTCGCCTTCCCCGCCGAAGGCCCCACGCCCGTTCGAAACGACGCAAACACGATCGTGGGGAGAGAGAGCAGCCACGGACGGGAAGGCGGCAAGCGGACGCTGAGCGAGCTGCTCAAAGCCTACGCCGAAGACGGGCGCGATATCAACTTCAGCAGCGAGGAGGCCGGCCGACTCGCGGACGTGCTCGGGCGATGGGTAAGTCTCCCCCCCCCCCCTCCCTCCTCCTCCTCCTCCTC